GTCCATCTGGGGATGGCTCCTGACTCGAAGGGGTGGCTGATGTGGGACCCCAAGAGCAAGAAGTGGCTGGTCAGCCGTGACGTCAAGTTTGTGGAGGACGTCATGTACAAGGACTGGCAGCAGCAGCAGCAGGTGCAGATTGGCTTGCGTCTGCAGGAGATTGAGCGGTCTGCAGTGGAGGAGGTTTATCTGCACCTTGAGGATCTCCCTGGGTCAGAGCGGTGGTGAGCAGCAAGGCGCTGGTCCTGCTGTGGAGGAGGGGTTGGAGGATGAGTCGGCACGTGTGGACTCACCATCTCAGCCCGAGCCTACTGCAAACACCAAGGTCACCAAGAGGAGTGTGCAGAGAGGAGCTTCACCACATGGGCAGCAGACTATAACCCGCGAGAAGAGAGTGGCAGCAGCACCCTCAAGGCTGAAGTATAGCCGTTTGGGAGGACCCAAGCAAGGTGCCATGGCGGTTCAGGCGGATGAGGGAGAGGATGAGGAGATGGCGTTTTGTTTCTTCACACCCTTGCCTGGAGAACCAGCCACAGTGGAGGAGGCACTCAGTGGACCCCAGAAGGAGGAGCGGAGGGCTGCCATGGATGCGGAGTTCAACAGTCTCATTGAGAATGGGACTTGGGAGCTTGTTGAGTTACCCGAGGGGCGACGGCCGATCAACAGCAAGTGGGTCTTCAAAGTGAAGAGTGGTGCTGATGGTGCGCTGGAGCGGTTCAAGTGCCGTTTGGTCGCCAAGGGATTTCTGCAGAAGGAGAAGGTCGACTTTGGGGAGATCTTCGCTCCCGTTGCTAAGCCATTGACACTGAGGACTTTGATGGCTGGCGCAGTTGTGAAGGGATGGCACGTGAAGCAGATGGATATCACCACTGCATTCCTCAATGGAATTCTACGGGAGGATATCTACATGGCGCAGCCCGACGGCTATGATGATGGGACCAGCCGGGTGTGCAAGCTTAAGAAGGCCATCTATGGCCTTAAGCAAGCGCCCAGGTGTTGGTACGAGAAGCTGGAGGAGGTGCTGCTAGGTGGAGGCTTCAAGACGTCCCAGGCGGATCACAGCTTGTTTCTGCTTGGAGAGGGGGAGCAGTTGCTTTTGCTGCTGGTGTATGTCGATGACATACTGCTGTTCTCACCCTCCATGGAGCAGATTGAGAGGACACAGAAGCTGCTGATGGACAACTTCAAGTGCAAGATGCTAGAGGATGTCCACTACTACTTGGGGCTGCAGATTGAGAGGGATGTTGAGAGGAGGTGGCTGAAGGTGCATCAGTCACACTACATCTCTGGTGTCATGGAGCGGTATGGTGTGATTGGGGGTCGCACTGTGATGACACCGTTCCCTGCAGGCTTCAAATTGAAGAAGGCAGCAGAGGAGGATGATGTGCTTGAGGATGAGCAGCAGAATGAGTACCAGTCACTCATTGGGAGTGTGATGTATGCAGCTGTGCATACGCGACCTGATGCTTCATTCGGAGTGGGGCAGCTGGCCAGAGTTGTGCAACGGCCCACTGTGGAGCAGTTGGAGGTGGCAAAGCGCTTGGTGCACTACCTCGGGTCAACAGCATCTGCTGGTGTTCAGTTTTCAGCTGACGGCCAGCTGAAACAGATTGGAGCAGATGGGGTCACGCCTGGTACCTTGAAGCTGTCGTGCTTCACCGACGCCACATGGGCCTCAGAGGATGAGGATCAGTCATCGGTTGGCGGCTTTGTGTGCATGGTCGGAGGTGGACCAGTGACCTGGAGGTCCAAGAAGCAGAGTGAGATTGCTCAATCTTCTGGAGAGGCAGAGTACATGGCGATGTACCATGCCATCAAGGAGATCGTGCTCCTAAGGAAGCTGTTGGAGGACATGGGAGCTGAACAAGAGGGACCTACACCACTTTTCTCCGACAGCGAGGCTGCTATTGGCATGGCCAATAATCCTATCCTGAATGGGCTGAACAAGCACATGAAGATTAAGTGGCACTGGGTGAGGCAGGTGGTGAAGGAGGGAGCTGTTGAGCTTCACCATGTGAAGGCTAGCAAGCAGGCGGCAGATTTTCTCACCAAGAGACTTCCCAAGAGCGCACATTGGAAGTGTGCTAAGATGTGTGGCATGGCATTGCACTAGTGAGGGCAGCAGTGTCATGAATGCATGTGTGATTGTGTGCATGAGACTATGCATGCGTGTGAGTGTGTGTGCATGCCGTCCATTAGTCTGAGGGGGAGTTTGTTGGATGCACGTCATTCTGAGTGCATGTCATCCTAACGTCCTGCCGAGTGCTCGTGCTTTTCATGCGTGCATTGTTTGTATGAGCGTATGTCATTGTGCATGGCTGTTGGATATTATCATCTCTGTGTTTTTCTCCAAGCCTAAATGCTTGATCATGCAGGAGAAATCCAGAGCTTTCCAACGACACCAAGATCGCCTTATTCCGACCAAGATCGCCCAAGTTACAAGATTTCCAAGATTTGGATTTCCAACGCCGCACGCCAAGGCGAGTATACGAACGCAAATATCAACGACGATGGAAATCTATGCATGTTCGTTCCACGCTCACCTCACCATGAAGGAATATATTAGAGAGCGTAGCGATAGCGAGAGAGTCTCTGCTATGGGAATGATGTTGCCCCAGCAACTTGGTAGAGTTTTGGTAGCGTTTGCCTCTAAGGAATTTGTGAGAATTGAGGTAGCATTTGGGCCAAGTAGAATTGCAATATCAATTATCAAACACACAAGCAAACACAAACATATATAGGCAAGCAAGAGTTGCACAATTGTTGCGTGGCACTGCGAGTAACCCAACCCACACGAAAGTGCTGTGCAGGTGGGTGAACGCGCCCCGCACATTTCCAACCCAACTCGGCACCGGAATGTCTCACCGTGCACGCTACTCCTGCCAACACAGCAAGTGAGCAGCGTGCCTCACAAGCAAGGCACCCACGACCCCCAAGACTCGTCATTCCTAGCACCGATTCCGCCGAGTTCGCTGCAGTAGCTCACAGTCACCCGTAGTCACTAATGACCGCCACCGAACTCGTGCGTCGTTGCCGAGTAGACTCAGTCGTTAGGCGCCGACCTGCCAAGTCAAAGGTCATCGAGGGCTCTTGCTGTCGTAGGGCCCTCTAACAAGCAACGTCGCCCCGCACTGGCGCGGACGCGGCATAGAGTGCGGGAGAGAGACGAGGACCAACGCGAGGACGAACACGGTGCGAAGAGTAGCCATGGTGACGAGCGATTTAGAGTGCGTAGGAGCGTCGGATTATAGAGGAGAGCACTGCGAACGACGATGAAGATCAGATTTGGGTGATTTTCGAGCCCTGACGAAAGCACTCAGTTGGTGATGGTGGATGGCGGAATGGAGGCGACTTAAGTAGCGGCGAAAGAGGAGGAGGAGGAGGAGGCGAGGGTGGCGGAGCTATTCGCAGTTGGTTCGCCAGCATGATGGTCGCCCTCCCAGCATCGCGCGATTATTGCAGCCATGGCTCCGCCGCAAAACGCGCAACATCCGGAGAAAGCTGTACTACTTCTGGGGTGTGGCAGAGGCAGTCGAGTTGGACGGCAGCGCGGCAATAATGGATTGGTTCAACTCATCGCCTCACTGGCATAGGGTCTCGCCTCACCAGGTCGCCAACAAGGGATTTTTTCGAGAGCAAAAGGTGAGGGTTGGGTGGGGAGGAGAGGAGAGGAGAGTGCCGTCTGTACCGTCGTACGCGGTAACCTAGTTCTCTCATTATTGTTCGCATCATGGCGCCGCAAAATGCGCAAAGAGAGACTATCGTGTGGGGCGTTGGATGCGGCACACTGGTCAACGAGGACTTGAGTCGAGAGCTCAATGCCAAGAGAGCTCCGAGATCAGCGGCGGCAATAATGGCTTCTGGTGGGAAAGAGTTTTTCGAAGGAGACGAAGTGTGGGTGTTCGGGAGCATGTTCAGCGGGAGAATGGCTTGTGTGCTACGAGCTCTAGTCGAACACCAGTAATTTCGATGATGCTTCGGCGAATGGCTCGACAAGAAGCATAACCAGTTACTTTTGTAAAAATGGTCGGGCAATCCAAACTTCCAGTGTTCAAACGCATGCATCTAGAAAATGTCATCGAACGAAGCCCAGGTAACATCTCGTTTTGTTTCTCGTCGACCGATTCGCTGATACGTTGTTGGGCTGGTTGCTTTCGTTGGGATCGAGCTGGCTGGGAAACCAGCCCTTCTCCAAACCGAACACGCTCCCGAGTCCCGAGCACTCCCTCCATCCGTCCTCCCCTCGACAAACAAGTACCCGCTGAGAGCCATTATTCCCGAACTGCCATCGATCTCGGAGCTTTCCTCTCTTGCGCTTAGCTCTCAAACCCATGTGCACAGCAGTGTGCGTCCTCGTTACCAGCGTTGCTGCATCCCAACGCCTCACGCGCCAGACGCTCTTTGCGCGTTCTACGGCGCCATGATGCGAGCAATAACTGCGAGCTGCTGGAATGAGATTAGGTACTGCCGCTATGGTACACGGAGCGCACTCCTTTCCCCCCACCCTAGCCTCACCCCCTGCTCTCGAAATTTACTTCCTTGGCGATCGGACGACGAGATCGGGCGAGATTGGGCAAGTAACTTGTTTGATATTTGAAATCAATTTCCAGCCATTATTGCGGCCGCGCTGCCGTTCACACCAAGTACTCAACTTCGAGTCGGACTCTACCGTAGCACGCGCTAGCGTGGACACCAGAAGCCCTTTCCACATGTTGCGCGTTGTGCGGCGGCAATAACGGCGAGCTGCTGAGAGGAGACCATGGCAAACCACCTCTGCAGCTCTCTCCACCTCATCGCCTGCTGCGAATCCCTTCACGATCCCTCGCCTCCTCCTCGTACTTCGCCGCAGTACTTAAATCGCCGCCATTCCACCATTCGCCACCACCAACTGAGTTACTTCTCCCACTGCTCGAAAATCACCCGAATCTGATCCGCATATCGCGCGAGGCTACTCTTAGAATCCGACACCACTTTCACGCTCTCTTATAACGCTCGTTGCCATGGCCACTCTTCGCTCCGCGTTCATCCTCGCGTTGGTCCTCGTCTCTCTCCCTGCGCTCTATGCCGCGGCTGCGCCACTGCAGGGTGACATGGCTGGTGGAAGTGCAGGCGTGGACGCGGCGAGTTGGGGGCGCAAGCTGCTGGAAGCGAGCGGCGGTGACCTGGACGTGGGTGGCGAGGAGGAGGAGGTGGGGGAGGCGACGGACGGGCTGGACGAGGCGGTGCGGGTGCTGCTGAGCTGGAAGAAGATCAAGAACGCGGCGAATCAAGCGGCGAAGAGCGAGGCGGGGCAGAAGGCGGGAGGGTTGGTGAAGAATGTGGTGAAGAAGGGCGGCAAGGAGGCGCTCACGGCTGCAGTCAACGCGTTCCGCAGCGGCAAGGGCGCCAAGGGTGCCCTGCAGGCGGGCGCTGGCTGCAGCCAAGACCGCAAAAACGATGATTTAAGTGGGAGAGGGGAGGGGAAGAGGCACTGCGGAGTGGAGGTCTGCAGCGGGAGACAACGCTGCTTCTGCTGCTACTAGTGCCTCCTCTGCTGTTGCTGCGGTTGCTGATGTGGCTTACAGGTGGCACGGTGTGCAGAATTGGTTGCTGAATAATTCAGGCTTGGTGATGCTGGGAGAGGTATATGTGTGTGTGTGTGTGTGGGTGGAGGGATTAGGTGGTGCGTGTGAGTGAAAGGGTTAGGTGGGCTGGTAGTGGATCCGGGCGTGCCTTTGGTTGCTTGGTGATGCTGCGTGTGTGGGTGTGTGGGGCCGGGTGTGGGTTGTGATGCTGGTGTGGTCTGTGGCTTTTGTGATGCTGTAATTTCATATGCTTCTTCTACCGTAATCCTGCTGAAGCTAGTGTTGGTTGTGGAAACGTTGTATATGCTGTATTTGACACACAGCAGGAACTCACTAAACACATTAGGCATTAGCCTTGCACAAGTATTTGGATCGTCTCTCGAGATTCGACATACGGTAGCACTCGTACTACCTTATTGGTAATACCGTACTGAACGTAGAAACCATACTGAGATTAGAATGTGAAGTTTGATGCAGTCTTGTAGTAGTACGGACTTGTACCGAGTAGTTGTTGTAACGGGTCACTGTTTGCCGTACCTTGCTTAAGCCCCCGACCCAAATAGTTCATGTTTTTAAAACATGTCGGGGAGGGAGTTCTTCCAATTGGGTTGTGGCGAGAGTGTCAGAAACTAACTAGCAAGGATGGTTGTACCCCGTATAGGCTACCCCACTACAACCTACACAACATAAGTAGCATTATGGTTTGACACACCCCATAGGCAAAGTGGGGAAGAATATGGGGCCACAAGACCAGTCAAGAAAAGCAAAGCAAGCTCAGGGTGGATCACGAAGTCACCACACACTCTGAGCACAAGCAAATGGCCAGAAGGCCGGTCCACATGCACAGTTATATAGAAGACAGCAAAAAGTACAGTGATCTTTCAAACTATATATGCTAGTTATGTATAGGCTATAGTGGGGTAGCCCATATGGGGTACAATCCAATGTTAGGGTTAGTATTTGTACCTACAATGTTTTCAATGCACTCATTCTAGCTTCTCATTCTGACATGGTTTCTGAGCAGTAGGTCCGTAGGACCGTTTTTTTTCGGGCCCACCATTCCGACTGCGGTTACCACGTTACCCCACTGCCCTACCCCGGGCCGCTCTGACCCTGCGAGTGCCACTTGCGCACTGCCCCAGTTGGCCGCACACCACTGATGCAGCGCGCGTTTTCTCTAGCGCGCTGCCCCGCCGACCGCCTGTAGCCCCGCATGCTGCCTGCCCCTGCCGCGGCTCCCTACTACACCCCGCGCGTCGGCTGTCGCGCTGCCTCGCAGCCCCGCGCTCCGCCCGCCCTACTGCCGCGGCTGCCCGCTACGCCCTGCGCCCGGCCGGCCGCCTGCAGCCTCGCGCACCGCCTGCCACAGCCGCGGCCGCCCGCTACGCCGAGCGCGCCGCCCGCCCTGCTGGCCCGCTGGCTGCCTGCTGCCCCACGCGCCGCCTGCCACTGCTGCGGCCGCCCGCTTCGCCCAGTGCGCCGCCCGTCCTGCTCCCCCGCCGGCCGCCTGCTGCCTCGCGTGCCGCCTGCCACAACCGCGGCCGCCTGCTACGCCCAGCGCGTTGCCCGCCCTACTGCCCCGCCGGCCGCCTGCTGCCCTGCGCGCCGCCTGCCACCGCCGCGGCCGCGCGCTACGCCTCGCGCGCCGCACATTCTGCTGTCCTGCCGGCCGCCTGCTGCCCCGCGCGCCGCCTACTGCTGCTTTGGCCGCCTGCTAGGCCCCACGCGCCGCCTACTCACTAAGCCCGCGCGCCGCCTCTGCGCCTGCCCCTATTGTGGCCACCCACTTCAGCCCAGCGCGCCGCCCCTGCTACTGCTGCTTGCCTGCAATCGCTCTGCCCTGCCAGTACCGCACCAGCAGCTATGGCCACCCTCCGCGTACTGTCGTTCGATACTGAGGGCTGCCTGATTCAATTTGAGACCTTGCTCGATGACCTGCAGCTGTTCCTAATGAGCGATAGCAAGGACAATGCCTCTCTCTTTGACCACACGTCTGGTGCCTCATTCGCTTCTGCTGCCACCGCTGAGCTTAGCGCTCTTTCCCAGTGGCAGACTCGTGACGCTGCTGCTCACCTAGCCGTTCACAACCACCTGCCGTTAGCCGAACTCACGCATTTTGGCGAACACAAAACCGCTAAGGCCCTGTACGACGCTGTAGTTGCTCAATACTCCTCCCCTGCCACTGCTGCACTTAGCCGCCTCATGCTGCCCTACCTGTTTGCTGAGCTGTCCACCTTTGCCACAGTTGCCCATCATATCACCCACCTTCGCACTAGTGACATTCGCCTTCGCGCCGCCCTCCTCAAAGAGTTCTTAGCTAAGAACCCGCCTCCAATGTACTGGACCCTCCACTTCATAGTGACCTGTCTCCTTGACTCTCTTCGCTTGGTCAGGGACCACTTTGTCGCTCGCTGTCCCACCGATCTCACTGTCGACCTCCTAGAGGAGCAGCTTCTAGCCGCCGAGACTAGCATAGTCACTGTAGGTGCTGCTCGTGGCGCTTCTCGCACCCCCATCTTTGAGGGGGTGCTCTCCCTCTCCCTTCGCCCCCTCCTACGCTACTGCCGGTGTTGTTGACTTCCTTGGTGCTGAGTCTGTTGGTGCTGCTTCTGTTCCTAGTGGGAGGCGCCGCAGCGGCAAGGGCAAGGGAGCCAAGAGTATCGGACGTGGCATTGGGGGTGGTGGTGGTGGAGGAGGTGGAGGAGGAGGAGGTGGCGGAGAGAGTGGTGGCAGGAGAGCTGGCGGGAGTGGTGGCGTCGGTGGCGGCGGTGGGAGTGGCGGTGGAGGGGGTGGCGGCGGAGGGGGTGAAGGCGGTGGTGGCGGCAGCGGTGGCGGTCGGGGCGGAGGCACTGGCGCTGGCCAGAGACAACAGCACCAGCAGCGTCCCCGTGAGGCTCTTACGCCCAAGCAGCTTCGTGAGTGGCTTGCTCATCGTGGGACGTCTGGGGGTAGTGGTCGCTGCCCGTATGTCATTCGCACGGGTGACTGCGCTCGTCAAACATGCGGAAAGTTCCACACCCAACACCGCTGCTTCTCCCGCCTTGACGACGCCTGACGTGAGGAGATGGGCGAGGAGGTCGAGCGTCCTCGATGGCATGAGCTGCTTAAGGCTGGTGTAGACATCTTCCTCTTGACTATGATGCTATCCTTGCTGCCATGTATGCATTGACTGTTAGTGCTGAGGGAGACTGTCACTTGTGTGTGCCGCCTCACCCAGGTATAGAGGCTGTTACCTTAGGTGCGAGCGAGTCTGCTCTCTCAGGTACTCCGCCTGCTGAGGCCTTGCAGACCTTAACGCTTGACTCAGGTGCTTCCCGCTGTTTCTTTCGTGAAAGTACTGCACTCACACCACTCAGTGCACCTGTTGCAGTCTCTCTGGCTGACCCCTCAAGGGGCCCAGTTCTTGCACGGTCCACCACTATGCTCCCATGCCCGACGGTTCCGTCTGGCTCACTGTCAGGCCTCCACCTCCCCTCATTCTCTACGAACCTGGTGAGCAACGCAGTTCTCCAAGACCAGTGGGTTGACACCTTTACCCCTGGAGGACAGCGTGTGGCGATCTGTACATGCTCCCGGACCGGCCGCCACCTGGCCACGTTTACCCATCGGCCAGGGCCGAATCTTTACACACTAACGAGTGCGCATCCTCAGGTGACTGCTACTGGTCAGGTGTCTGCGTCAGGTCAGGTAGCCTCCCCTTGTTCGTGTCGCTCCTTGTCGCACCAGACTCTTCTTTGGGACCACCGTCTGGGTCACCCCTCCTTGCCACGTCTACGTGGCATGCACTGTCGCCTCCTTCTGTCTCGTCTTCCCAGGTCTCTCCCTCCCCTCCCTGCCTCGCCTGCACCGCCCTGCCTTCCTTGCGTCGAGGGACGGCAGCGCGCCGCTCCTCACTCCTCAATCCCCCCAACAGAGGCTCCCCTGCAGTCCCTCCGCATGGACGTGTGGGGCCCAGCCCACGTTCGTTGGCAGGGCGGTGCGCGGTACTTTCTGCTGGTTGTCGATGACTACTCGCGTTACACCACGGTCTTCCCCTTGTGCACCAAGGGTGAGGTCCCAGATGTCGTGATCCCTTGGATCCGAGCAGTTCGTCTCCAGCTCCACGAGCGGTTCCGCCAGGACCTCCCTGTCCTGCGTCTGCACTCTGACAGAGGTGGTGAGTTCTCCTCTGACCTCTTGCGGGCCTTCTGTAAGGGGGAGGGCATCCTCCAGTCGTTCACGCTTTCGAGCTCACCGCAGCAAAAAAGGGTTGCTGAGCGCCGCATTGGCTTGGTCATGGAGATCGCTCGTAGCTCCTTGATCCATGCGGCGGCTCCCCATTTTCTGTGGCTGTTTGCGGTCCGGTACGCCGCACAGCAGCTCAACCTCTAATCCAGTGTCTCCTTGCCGGAGACCTCGCCCACACTGCGTTGGACGGGAGAGGTTGGCGATGCGTTAGTGTTCCGGGTCTGGGGTTCTCGTCCCCTTGTCCGCAATACGTCCACGGACAAGCTCTCCTCCCGCACCATTCCCTGCGTCTTCCTCGGCTTCCCCCCTGACGCGCTTGGATGGCAGTTTTGCCACCCCACCTCGCGCAGTGTTGTATCCTCTCAGGACGTCACCTTTGATGAGTCGGTTCCTTTCTACCATCTCTTCCCCTACCGCACTGCTCCTCTCCCTCCCTCGCCGCTTTTCCTAGCTCAAGGTCCCCCTCCGGTAGACCCCCTCCCCCCTCAGGGTCATGCTCCTTCAGGTGTGTCTCAGGTAGACCCACTCCTCTTCGCTGAGCCTGTAGAGGTCACTAGTGACTCAGGTGCTGCTGCGGGTGGTGCTTCTCGGGGTGCTTCGTCTGGGGGTGCTGAGCCTGTGCGTGAGGTGCTGGGAGGTGCGGAGCCTGGGGGTGCTGAGCCTGTGCGTGTGGTGCTGGGGGGTGCGGAGCCTGGGGGTGCTGAGCCCGAGCGTGAGGTGCTGGGGGGTGCGGAGCCTGGGGTTGCTGAGCCGGAGGGTGCCGGGTCTGGAGGTGCTGAGTCTGCTGGCGCTTCTCCGGGTCTCTTTTCCGAATGGGTGCCTCTCTCACCACAACAGCTATGAGAGTGGCTTTCGTGGTGTGCCCGCTTGAGGAGTCGTGCTGCTAGAGGTACTGCTGCTCGAGGTGCTGCGGTGGGAGCTGCTGGTGCTGCTCGTCGTGGAGGCACTGAGAGTGCTGGTGTTTCTTGTTCTGGAGGTGTACTAGAAGTACTGGAGCTGCAAGGACTGGTGGTG